CCCCCCCCCCCCCCCCCCCCCTGGCTTCTAGTTTTTCCTGCTCGTCCCATAACTCATCGACCAATTCCGGCCGGCTGAAATACTTTGCACGCAAGAAACGATAGTCAACGATCTGTTACTCCACAGACAGAGACAGTCATCACATCATCAACGAAAGTGCAATGTCCCTGGCATGCGAATGGTGGAGTGGGACCATCCCGCAAACATTTGCTTGATGCATAATTGCACAAAGAAATCAAATCTGTGGGCACTCGCTGGCCAACAACAAGCAAGGGGGTAAAAAATACTGGGTGGCGGGTCGGATGTAACACGAGAGTCATGCAACCAGAAGCGCTGCTTCAGCAGCTCGGTGGACAGTGGTCAACAAGACTGTAGAAATCACTTAAACATTGCTCCGCACGTACCCTTGGTAGAGGAAGTCGCCTGACAGTGCGACGCAGGGAACGAACACAACCATTAGCCAGAAATAAGCTGTGCTCATCAGATTGAAGATGACATAATACACATTATCCTGCACCAGCAGACCAAAACACACCGAAGATCAAACCCAACCCCAGTTCTTATTTCTATCCTATGTTTCACTTAAACCGCCAGTACCTTTCTCAGCTATTGATGCCGAGCCTAAACGAGCCCTGTGCGCCAATTTTATTTGCCGAGCCTGGAGGGGGCAGGAACCGGTAGAAGTAACTTGTCGGCTGACACCGATGCCTTCCCTTTAACTGTAAACAGGTTCATGTGTGTACGTCAATCCGCTAAAACCGCACAATCCAGGTGCTGTTCACCACACATCTGTGGCTCAGTGTTGAATTGGGAGGACTCATTTCGACATAGCAAAAACATGCCAGGCCCTAATGCCCAGATGGCACAATTCATAGATCTAGCAGTCCACTTTTCTTTTTTTTTTTCAACAAAACACACAGCCCCTTCTATTCTGGGGGGCATCAGTTCGGTTGCTTATCACCCGCAAGCATGTTTTACAAACAACGAGGGAGAGAAGAGAAAAGAAGAGAAAGGAGCAGCCATACCCTTGTGGCACGAGTCACCTAAGCAGCAAGCAGGAGCTGCTACGGACCGCCCCAGCCCCAGCCCCAGCCCCAGCCCATAGCCACACCTCAGGGATTACCTTACAGGTCGGGAGGCTTGCTAGCTGCAGCACCCATGCACGCAGCAGGGTAATCCCGAAGAGGGCAGGGCACAGAGGAAGGGGGGAGGTGGTCCCAACAGTCCCTCGGCCGCTTGTCAGCCACACTAGTGTCCTCATGCTTTATGAGCCTTGTATCTCCCAAAAACTGCCCTTATGTCTCTCATAAGCCCTACACTCCTTGTCTTGCCTGTCTACTGATCTGATTCCACAAGTTTCCTCTCTACACTATCCCTGTCATTCCCAAAAGTGCTTTTGTGCAGTCTTTGTGCAAAAGCGCCATGCAGGTCGTCATGTCTTCCCCCCCTATTGAGGTTAAGGAGTAACTTTTCTAACAGGGTTGCATGTATTTTCTTTTTCTTTTTCTTTTTGCTTTTTACTTCAACAAAACAATTGAAAACATCAATTCTGATATATTGCTGAGAAAATGGGGCTCAGCAAGTTTACATCCTTGCACACTCCTCGTTTCCCTCTTGTTATGGACAAGAGAACTTGAGTCCATGGCATTGATTACTTCCTACAGGGTATCATAGGGCCTCACCGCACCACTCACCGAATGTGAAAAAGAACAATATGGCTGGTGTATCTTTCCATGTTGCAGCAGGAAATTCATTTTCATTTTGCACATTTGTTGAGTGGCGCAGCGCGGCCCATATTGTTCACGTCCATGATAACTTGACATACCTCTACAGAGTCTACACCTTCAATAAGATGGTAGGCGACCAGTGTGCAACAGTAAGAACGTCGAGGAACAGGGTTAATTAACTTAATTTCGAGGAACAGGGTTAATTAACTTAATTTTTCCTTTGTTTTCTACTCTACACCAGCTCCTTTTGGCCAGCGATGTCCAAAAAGCTACAACCCATTTTTTACCAGCCTGGTGACCTTGCGATGCCCTCAATCGCCAGAGTCGAGTAGGACGTTAATTCGTCCTCTCCTCCTCCTCTTCCTCTTCCTCAACCACCACCTCCAATACTCTATCAAAAGAGAAGACCCACCTAGGAATAACAAAGAATTCAATTTTACAAGCAGGTGCAGCCAGTGCAGCTTGCGCCCGCGAACACCGTCAGGAAGCAACCCCAATGAAGAATCTCACTTCGCTCTTTCTGTCTCTGACTCTATGTTTTCTTTGTTAGTGTATGGCTGGTGCTTTCTGTATCACTGTTTTAGATCTTGGCGTCTTCTGTCTTTCTAAGTCTTTGTGGAAAGCAGAATAGTAAACAGCAATGGTCACAAACAGCAAGGTCATACACAGTCACAAACAGAATAGTAAACCGCAACGAATCTTCAACGGTTCGAAGAACATTATCATCGTCACCGTTTTTTTTTTCCTTTCTCATTTGTTTTTCCTGCTACACACACAGCGTCAGAGCTCCCTGAAACTTCGGGAGCTCGCACCAGTCTGACAGTACCACACCCCCCCCGCCCCATTCACACCTCCCCACCGAGCCGGCCGAAGCACCTACCCACCACCTCCCCACTGAGCCGGCAGAAGCACCTCCCCACCGCGCCGGCCGAAGCACCT